CTGAGAAAATATTATATACTTTTCCTTCTATGCTAATGAAGGACTACTGAGACATTTGGGCCCTCAGCCCAAAAAGTTTGGACACCCCTGGCTTACAGTAACCATGTGCTTTTCACCATACACAATTCATCTGCTATTGTTCTTCTTTCAGATAACTTTGTCATGTTTAGTGTCAGTTGACAGTTTATGACTTCAGTGTTGTAGTGATGAAATCAACAGAGACATTGATTAATTGTATTTCAATCTACAATATATTTACTATTGTTAGTCATGGCCTGAGGAGTATGTTAATGTACTTCTCCCCCATTTTATCTCCTCAACTTTGCTCTCATGTTCAGCTGGTTTTGGGGGTTGGTTTTCACTTATGTTTGACAATGCTTTGCTCAGGGTATAATAAGGAAAGGTAACTGTTGATCTGGGAGAATGGCTTTTACTCTGCATCTCTGGTGCGTAGCCTCATATGCTAACAAAGGCAGTTTGACTGTCTTTGTTGCTCAGCAGTGCATATGTTACAGCTAATTTCTATGCTAGTTTGTTTCATTCTACTGTCTGTATATTTAAACATGTAACTCAATAAACAACTTTGCCTGATTTAAGACGTAGAGATTCTTTCTCTTTATCATTGATGATAACAACTTTAATGGAGTCAGATTAATTACAATGGAGTCAGATATATAATGGATTTAAACACGCCATCCTTCAACTGCTTTCTGTTTCCGACTATTGGTTCAGAATAGCAGCGTAAGCTTCAAGCCTTACAACACTGTAAGACGTAATAAGACTCACTCTGGCACAGATGCCCAGTCTGCACGCTGGAATACACGCTATTATATCATGACCGTGACGCAGCTTCAAAAATTCGTTTCAAACAGGAAGTACGAATTTGCTTGAAATAATGCAAAAACAACCAATTTACACTTTTTAGTGAAATATAGGTGTCCTAATAGTGTTTTTAGCAGTGTGGGACACATATACGACTGTCAACAGCTCAAAAAATGTGTTTTGGTGTTTCGTGACCCTTTAAATTGGGGTCATAAAGAAGTAAGAGTTTGGAGAGGGCTAGTAAGCCAGGAACCAGCTACACAAAGGTGGGAGAAGGGAAGGATGAATGGGATAGCAAATTTTAGGGACACCAGATTGTCCTCGGGACAGATTTCAGATTGTTCAGGAGGTCTGCTTGTGGATGTTTCTACTTTATTTTAATATTCAATAAAGTCTATTCTGATATTTATAACCACCAGACTGAGCTTGATTAAATAATGGAACGACCAAAACTGTGACACAGGATGTCTAATCACGACTTTGCATTAACTTAACATGTAAATCACTCACACAATAATTCATCCATGTCTGGTGTGAATGCACCATCAGAGCCTACAAACGAATTAAGAGTATGATTCCCAGGATGATGACCCGAAATGCACAGCCAGAACTACAATGGACTATTCTTAATTAAAGCATATTTATGTTGTGAAATGTGGCCCGTTCAAAGTCCAGGGGTCCGTTCTTCGTACGTGGATTACTCAGCTGGATTTGGATATTGACGATTTGACACGATCCAGGATAGTTTTGTTCTTCAAAGCTGATTCGAGAGTTGTTGTCATGGCAACAGTTCTGCTAGGTCAAACCTGGTCGGAAGCAGGTTCAATTCATATAAACAGGATTAGATCTGCTCAGTTCAAGCAAAGATCATACAGAAAGTATGTACCGAATTCTGATATTTTCTTACAGTAGTAGTTATATACACTTGGGAAAATGGTACATATTTTTTAACTATATATATAAAGTTATAGTTATTAATAAAATAAATAAAGTTATAAATATTAATAAAATGTATGCAATCTGCACCCTCGAAATGAAAGTACAAAGACTGCCACCTGGTGGTGCACAGAGAAAACTGATATGAACTTTTTAGATCGCTTTAGTACAAATTGTGTATAATAGAAATGCACAATATGTGACTTTTTTAAAAGCAATAATACATTTCAACAGTCATAAACATGTTTTGATAGTTAATATGCCAGTGATTTGATGCTTCACAAAAGTTGCAGACGCCTTTACCAATATCAAAATGCTTTTGTAAACAACCAGTTATTCTTTACACCGATTAAAAAACGGCTACTGTAATAAAGAAAATATTTTCTAAATGTAGAACTAAATACATTGATTTGCATTGAAATAAATGATGAATACTCTTGACTCATGAAAGTGGAAAGCCTGCAGCTCACAACAAATGTGGAAGGTTATCGCGTGTCATATTTAACAAGCCGTTTACTGCTAATTTGATGTAATTTTGCTCACATGGATAATTGAATATTAATCAGATGATGTCATTACGCTGCTGTGCCGTCAGCCAATCGTTGCATTGCTGATCATGATTTCGAGGATCGATAGATCTGTCCTTCACAACACACGCAGCGATCTCAGATCAGTTCATCCAGACATTCTAATCTGATTCGCGAACTTGTTTGAAGAACCAAATTAGCGAGAGATCAGTTATCGAGATGAAAAGATCCAGGATCTGCCAAATCATTCTAGATCATTTAAGCGAGGTACGAAGAACGGACCCCTGACCTAAACCCAATTGAGTATCTGTGGCATGAATTGAAAATTGATGTTCACAAATCTGGCGCAGTGAAGTGGATTTTATACTCTTTAAAGTGTGAAGTTAATCTATATATTCAAATTGTAAGTGTATAATCTGCTTGTAGACTTGCAGACCATTAGAAGAATTACCATATCACAAGAAATGGATAAGTTATATAGTTACCAGGTTTGGGTCAGGGGTTAACCTTGGTGGAAATTGGGGTCAGGGGTTAACCTAGGTGGAATTTGTGTGACATATGTAGATCAAAGGGAAAAATAGTTGCAAAAGAAGTATATAAACAGGCCAGAACATCAGTGAGACAGAATTTTTCAGACAGAGATGCTACTGGGGGTCTCCTGAAAATTCTCCTTTGTTGTCGACAATGAAGTATACTCTTCTGATATTCATAACCTCCAGACTGAGTTTGATTCATTAAGAGAAAAATCGAAAACCACTACAGCAGTAGGTAGTGCTGTTGCCTCACAGCAAGAAGGTCGCTGGTTCGATCCTCGGCTCAGTTGGCGTTTCTGTGTGGAGTTTGCATGTTTTCCTTGCATTCGCGTGGGTTTCCTCCGGGTGCTCCGGTTTCCCCCACAGTCCAAAGACATGCGGTACAGGTGAATTGGGTAGGCTAAATTGTCCGTAATGTATGAGTGTGGTGTATGTGGATGTTTCCCAGAGATGGGATGCGGCTGGAAGTTCATCCGCTGGGTAAAAATGTGCTGGATAAGTTGGCGGTTCATTCCGCTGTGGCGACCCGGAATAATAAAGGGACTAAGCCGACAAGAAAATGAATGAATGTTCACAAATCTGACTGGACATGAGCTATTTATACCATGATCAGGTCTGGAGGTTTGATGTCAGAAGGTAAAGGAGGCTTTGTCAAAAAGTCTCCCTCAGAATGTCCATTTTCTGGGTCTGCAGACACCCTTGTATACAAATTTGGTTCATATATGGCATAGTCTGAGGCCCCCATATGTGTTCGTGTGTGTGTGTTAACAGCTGTGTGTGAACTTAGATGTGTTAAATGCAGGAGACAAATGCTGTCTCCATACTTGGTCACGTTGTTTACACCTCCCACTTTCCATACGAGTCCCCTCATGTCTCCCATTCCTCCAGACTTCGCAAAAAAACAATAGTTGAAGCCCATTTGTCTTTCAGCAAAGCTGTTAGTAACACACTTTAAACACTTCTGTATTCACAGCAAAAGGTGGTGGGACAAAGTTTTGACTCAGGAGTTTAATACAAATGCAAGCAACTCGTTTATTTTTTCTTTTATGTGCCAGTTAGTGTTAGTCGATCGCATAAAGTCCCAATAAAATAATTTTGTGGCTGCAACATGATAAAATATGCAACATTCAAAGGGTGTGAATACTTTTTCAAGGCTCTATGGTTGGTGGTAAATAAGCCATTTCATCCAACTGATATCACTCCACTCCCTTTGAAACTTTCCTTTTAGCAATTAAAGTAGATCTCAATGCGCATCTCAATGTGCTGATTTTAGTATGAACGCGAAAATACTGTTTCACCAAGCACTCGAGCCATGTTAAGAAAGCCAGTGTAAAGTTTTTCTGGTTGTTTTCATGTTGATAAAACTACACCAGTGGAGCAAACTGGTCGTACGTTTCTTTATTTACATCCTTAAATGTCTTATTTGTTGAACGTAACCGTGAAAACATGTCAGATTCATTCACCTTCCTTTCCACGATGTGCGAGTCACATGACAATACAACTCTTTATCTTATTTTTCTGTTTCATACTCTGTATTAGGATATTATTTACATTACATTTACATTTCTTTTTTTTTTTTTTTGGCACACAAGAAACTGCGGTTGTTATTGTTTAGCACAATATAAACAGATTGGTTAATATTTTGAGGTCTCTTCACTAAGACAGCATTTATTTGACGAACAAACAGTTCAATTTAGAATAACTATAAAAGTATAATTAAATATTCATTCGTTTACTCATTTTCTTGTTAGCTTGATCCTTTTATTAATCTGGGGTCGCCACAGCGGAATGAACCGCCAACTTATCCAGAATGTGTTTACACAGCAGATGCCCATGCAGCCACAAGCCATCTCTGGTAAAAATAAGCAAATATGTATTTAAGTAATCTTCAAAATATGTTATGATTCTTTGATTATTAAAAGCATTAACGTTAATTTAATACTTCTTTGTGGAATAATGGAATAATAAAAGTAAAAAAAATTACTAAAAACAGTTTCTTGAGCATCAATTTGCGATATAAGAATAATTTCTAAAAGACTTTGACTGAAGGATGCCGGAAACATAAGCTTTGATCACAGGAATAAATAATTCACAACGTTTGTGTTGTGACATCTTTAAAAATATGTGCATCTTTTCCCCCCTTAAAACTGGTTCAACTTTAAGGTAAAATAAAGTAACTTACATGTAATGTGTCCTCTGAACAAGGCCACGTCTGATCACGCTGGTCTTCTGAGGTAATAGGTGCGTTCGACATGAAGCTCAGCTGCAGCCGGTGATCAACGAGATTAGCCGAGCGCAGGCGGGGCGGAGTTGAAAACGGAGCCGTCAAGACGGACAGCTGGACACTTCGGGACTCAAAGTTGCTGCAGTCATGATGACCGATCACATGGCGTCATCATATTTTTTTGTTATTTCTATTTATAACAACAAAACATTTACAAATAAAACAGAATACAGGCTCTTCAAACTGTAGTTCCTTTTTAAACAATAAGAGAGAATTATGAATAAAATATATAACAAATGCATGAGAGAAATAAGAGGAAATGTGAGGTTAACATAAACATAAAAACGAACAGGTCTATTAAACACAAAGCAATAAGCATAAATTCTAGGAGTTAAACATCAATCTTTAGCCTAATACTTCCTGTTTGAATATGCTAAAAAGGGTTTGCATATATGTACATTTATAGATATAAAAGTTTCCAATGTAAAAAGCAAAACAAGGTGTTTTGATTAGGTCTTAATAAATGACATTATTTTGGATAATGAATGAATTTTCAAAAAAGCATTTTAATCCAAAAAGATTGTGTTGAAAAGAACAAAAGGTAAAACAAGTGAGCGATGTAGAAGTTTCCCAGAACGAGCAGGTAGCCTTTAAACTGCTAGACAGGAAATTAAATATATATTTATATTATAATAATAAAACCATTTTATAATTATTTAATAAAATAGTTCTTTAATTTGTTAAGAGAGCTTTAGGGTGGCAGGATCAATGATGATGATTTTCTTATTTCAAGTCTGTAAGACATATTTAGGTTATTCACTAAAATATACACTAAAATATATCATTTAAATCGTTCATGGAGATGAATGCAGTAAATAGTCTGTATAAAAAAGTTAAAAATAAACCTGTGCAAACAAGCTAACCTTTATAACCAGATTATTTAACAAAAGATGATTACTGCAGTAAAATATTGGTAGACTTTTAATAAGCAAGATGTGTACAGGATAGAAAGGGTGTGAAAAGTGAATTGTTTGTTTTGAAACTTTTGAATCGGAATTTGTCCAATTATAAACCCGAAATACACGTGTTTGTTGTCATGTGGTGAACTCGGCCAATCGTGTAATATCGGTGTCGTCATCAAAGCTCCTGCAGTCGCTCTTCAGAAGCTGCACGGCCTGAGTTTGCCGTCTGATCTCGGAGCGCTGTCGCGGTACTTTGATGCCACATGTGACAGTCACGTGGCGTCGGCGCAGCATTAATCCGGACAAGATTTCTAACCAGAATGCACCGCTTTAAGACAGATTTCGATCGATCTGCGCAGCGGTGCATGAAGTCGAACGCACCTAATAATTTACTGCCCACCCGACTTTGGTCAATGAAACTTTCCCTGCAGCGTTTTGTTTGTTTGTGCGCGAGTTCTTCTGCTTTTATTGGCGCCGACTCCCCCTCGCGTGCACCTGCTTGACGTCACTTGAGCTGCCCCAAAAAAAAAAAAAACTCGCAAATCGTCACTTGTCAGTAACTTTTGCATTTAAATTATCAGTGTGTTAATTGCTTATCGAGTCGAAATTGAAACCATTTAGTACAGGCTTGAGATCAAACTCTAGTATTTAAATGGATTTGTTTGATTTGACTTTGGCATCAGTGCTGACTTTTTCCAAAACCCGATCAAATGCACAAAAACCTTCCCAAAATAATTATATTAATATTTAATTCAATATTACTTATGTCGTTATAATTTACTATATTAGTTAAATAATATTTGATTTAGTTTTAATTTATTAAAATCAGTCATTATCAGTCTTTGTCAGGTGACGTCACCGTCGTAAACACCGAATTGCATTATGGGACATAGCCGCCATTTGTGTTGTATCCGAGTTAACGTGAGCTGTTATGTGGCTTTAGCGTCTTTCGCAGAGTAAATACAGTGTTATAAATGATCACGACGTCAGATATTTTAAATTTCCCGCTCGGAAGAAAGTATATTGTATAGACCTTTTTTCTTGGAACGCAAAATTACCCATCATGCTTTGCGTGTATGCGCAAGGAGAATGCGAAGAACTTCCGGTCGGCAGCTGATGCGTGTAAACAGTCACATTTGGACAGCTTTGAAACGATAGTTTTAATCTATTTTACCTGCTTTTATCCTCTTTGAACTAATACTGTTGTCCATCAGCAGCATCTCCTGGACTGATCATTTAAAGAAATGCCATCTAATAGGATGGAAAACAGCTGCTGTGAGGCGTTTTCCCCTCGTTGTCAGACGGCAACTTCTGCAGTTTAAATGAAGCCTTGTCATCGCCTAAGTCAACATTTTCTCTTTATTTCAATTATATAACCAGCCCAAACAAATGTAATTCACCAATGTTTGAAACACACACGCAGCCTGTACTGTGCCACTGACACACTGATTTAATAACTGTGACAAAGTGAAAATATAGGCTATTGTCATTTCCAAATGACAGTAAAACACAAACCGTGGTAAAAACAACACACGAAATAAAACACAAACGGCTCGCGATTAGAATGAACAGCAAATCAGCCAGCAGAGCATCAATAACAGACTTTTAATGGTAATTTTTGTAAATTGCACGACTTTCATCCTGTTAAGTTTCATGCCAGTACTCTGGTTTGCTCTCTCTCTCTCTCTCTCTCTCTCTCTCAGTGTGTGTGTGTGTGTTAAAGAGCCGCTGAGCTAACAGCTGACAGACCGGGAACGCACACACACACACTGTATTTCTGACGGCAGACACGTAAACTAAGAGAACATTTTTCTCGTATTTCTGACGCGCTTGAACCACACGTGACAGATTATAACGGCTTTAACAGACACATTTCTAAGTTGTGTGTCACAAAAACGCTCTGTTATCCATTAAAAACGTTATTGAAACCCATTTTCGGAGCGCAAATTACCAGTTGTACACGCTGTAAACGGAGGTTTTTGGCATTCTACCGGAAGTCGCTGGTCGCTATGGCGCCCTCCATGCAGCAGCCATGAAAAAGGTCTATATACTGTAGCGGTAACAACGGATGCATCGGGTGTCCTGTCCAGCTGCATTGAGACGCAAAATATATCTTAATTTCTCCGTTTATGCTCTTAACATTATCACAAAGGTAAGTACGAAAGAATATTTAAGTAACTTTACAACTGTCATTGCTTGAGCTTCAAATGTAACACTTTAGTTGTGGGGGTAAAACTGCATTTAAATATTTACGAATCAACTTAGTGCTTATGGATTTAAGATTGTAAAGTATTTGATTGGAAAAATATTGTAAAATACTTTTTTACAACTTAAATTTGCTGATGTACTCACTCCCTGACAAAAAGTACATTTTCGACTGACCTTTTTCTGAAAACAAATATAGTTTTTTGTTGAAATCATTCCCTTAAATGTTTTAAATCTCCAGACTGTAACGTAGACTAACCATGTTCAGTACACTTTTCGCTATTCAGCGCACTCACAGGGCCACTCCTCCGTCATTAAAAGCCAGATAAGCATGCTTGTGTGTTTTATTCTCTGGGGGAATACCTATTGCACAATCCAAATCTTGATTGATGTCTTTTGGACTAGTAGTTTTTGAGAAAAGATGGGATAAGAACCGCCTTCGCATGTGTACGGAAGATGATAGGTATTAACGGTGTTCCGTACACGACTAAAAGAGTGTTCCGTACAGGGCGCATAACTTTAATTTACTGGCAAAAATGGGCATTGTTTGAAGTCTTATTAAAATCCTTTGTCAGAATATACTATTATTGTGTTTAACTTGAAGTTAATGATATATTAAATAACTCTTTTCTGAAAGTTTTAAATGAAATAGCTTCAAAATCATTTACTTTTTGTATCATGTTTATTTTATTACATGACAATTTAAAATATTAAAACATTAAATTCATGCACATTGACGCTAACTTGACTGAGCTTTTATGAATATAAACATCATTACTGCAAAAAAAGTCTCTCAGGCGGAGAGTTGCAACATGCGGTATTTACCCACAATTGATATTTAAACATCCCCGTTTCAAAGCATTTATTCAACAAAAGATAATTTATTTAACAATTTGTGATAACATAATATTCACTTCATAAAGACTGTAATACCGTGTGATGCATAAATTAAATGCAAAAGCATTTTGTCGGGGCTTTAAATGTCTCCCCTCCCAGGTGACACTCGCACTTTAAGCTTGCCCACTTTCTATTTTCAAGCGCATTAGGTGGACGTAGCAAACTTGCTGAATTTACTCGGAAACATATAGTAGGAATGTCTCTGTTGTGGTTGGGGCTGAAAGAGTGAGAATTAAAGATTACTAGGGGTGTCACTATTTCGATTTTTAATCGAAATCGATCGAAATTTATGCTCAATTTCGATTATCGAATCAAAAAATAGAATCGTCGATGCTGCCACGCCCCCATGTCACGTCAGCTTGGCTTGCCAAGCGGGAAAAAACACGATTGTTGGAGTGCTTGTTAAACTGCAGATACAGGAGACCCGTCGACAGAACTTAAACCCTCTCCTCTTTCAATGAAGTCGCCGGTGTGAAAGCATTTTGGATTTCCAGTGAGTTATGTTGACAACGTTTGTGTTGTCGACAAAAAAAAACACAGTTTTGCAAGCTCTGCTATGTACGTATTAGGGTTCGTCCGATAGACAACACCGGCATCGTCCATCACGATGTTTCACAGTAGACATTGTACGAATTGGTTGACATCGCTCAACCCTAATGGAAATAGAAACATTAAAAGTTTTGGATTTGGATGCTAATAGATATATTCAAATTGCTGGCATAGCAAACTATATGTGAATCCAGTGTTGTCAAAAAGTATTCTAGAAAAGGAGTTTCTCAATAATATAGACAAATATGAAAATTGGTTACAGAAAATCAACAAGTCAAAATTTAATGAAATACAAGAAATAATGACAATAAGAACACTTTAATGATAGATGATCATATATAAATATAGACTTTCCACATTTAATGATCTCTTACGCCCGTATTATTCAATGTTCAGGTATAAACACCCTACAGTCTCTGAGCGTTTATCTCTGAGGTCTCATTTAGCAAAAAATAACAAACTTTTTTCAAATCATTTCACACAAATGAGCAGAAATTAATTTGAATGTTACACACAATCCACAAACACACGCAAATGGTGGCATCTCAAATATAAAAATACTATAATGAAGATAAAGATAAATTAACTGATTACCTGAGTCTCCAGGCTATGCAGTCTATTAGTTCACCCTTCATCTTTCAAGTCCCTGGATAGTTCATAGGTTATTTTTGTCACATCACATCTTCATAATTTAAACTTATTCATTTCAATGCCTATTCCTTCAATAAGCTTGGTATGCCATTCTGAATCTAATGACATTAATCTCGAGAGTTTTGACCAAAGCATTTAAGAACTATAAGTGAAAACATGCATTTTCCATATCTCTGGCTTGGTTGCGATAACACAGGGGAGTCCAAACTCGGTCCTGGAGGGCCGGAGTCCAGCAAAGCTTAGTTCCAACCCCAATCAGACACACCTGGGCCAGCTAATCAAGCTCCAACTAGGCTTTCCAAAAACATCCTTGCAGCTGTGTTGAGGGAATTCGAAGATAAAATCTGCAGGACACCGGCCCTCCAGGACCGAGTTTGGACACCCCTGCCATAACACAAAGCAAGCTTGGTGTGAATACAGTATTCAAAGCAGTATACAGAATACAGTACGAAAGCAGTATGGATATATAACGTCAGTGTGGTGGAAAGAGCATCGCTGAACACCCAGAAAGTTGGGAGAGCGAGTGGAGACAGTCAGTAGCCCAATCAAAAATAATTAATAACACCTGTTTTCTCTAGTGATTGGGCCGGGGAGACACCAGCTGCGTCCGAAACCGCATACTTCCATACTATATAGTACGCTAAAATCAGTATGCGAGCCGAGTAGTATGTCCGAATTCATAGAATTCAAAAATCAGTATGCGAGAAGTACCCGGATGACCTACTACTTCCGGCGAGATTCCGGAGTGCGCATCCCATGCACGCTGCACTATCCCATGATGCCCCGCGAGCGAATTCATGAATGAAAGTAAAGCGACGCAATTGACGCAGGTAGGTCACGTGACCATGACAAAATGGCGGATGTAGTACGGCCGAATTCCATTCATACTTTTCACATTTATACTGTATAGAACGTACTTTTCTAACGGCCGAGTAGTACGTTTAAATTCAAATGCAGTACCTACTGAGTAGTCGGCGGTTTCAGAAGCAGCCACCTTCTTAAGGGAGCAAGAGCGACCAGTGAAGAGAGAGCTGAGCTACAACCTGCACATAGAGGGCTGTCGCTGAGACACTAAAAAGAATAAATAAAACTATCACTTACCTAAACGCCGACCCTGTCTTCTTCCCACAACAAAGAACCTTTCTACAGTCAGGTATGATTTTGAGTGTTTTTTGATTAAATAAATCATGTTATTAATTGACTAATCAACTTAGATTGCCTTAACAGAGAGTCTCCGACCACATACTCCAAGAGCACCACCCACAGAAAATGATAAAGAGACATGGCTAAATGCCTTCTCCAAAACACATGTGGACTGGTGAGGCATACTCCTACAAACCCTTGAGCACCCTAGTGAGGGTATAAACCTAGTTCAGTGCTCCACGGACCGCAAGAAATCCACATTGTTCCCCCTGTATCCAAGGTTCAATCATCAACTGGACTTTGCTCTAGCTTCCTGGCCTAGACTTTAGTCTATAGTCACCCTCCGATCCCCTTAAACATGGAGACCACAACCTCAGTTTTCCAGTACAGAGGTACTGTCCCAGACCTCCACAATATGTTGTAGAGGCATGTCAGCTAGTCTCTGTATGGATGGAGAAGGAGTTTGGTTCACATGTTGGACTCCTGTAGGGCTGCCCTTTGTCACCTGTTTTGTGTTTTATTTTTCTAATTTCTAGCCACATCATAAACCATAGGATTTTATCTTTGCTATTTGCAAATGATGTTGTCCTGTTGGCTGCATAGGACCTGGAACCTCAGCATGCACCGGGACGGTTTGCTGCCAAGTGTGACATGGTGGGGTTGAAGATAAGCACATCCACGCCTGAAGTCAAGGTGCTTGACCAGAAAAATGTGGCTCACCATCTTCAGGGTGGAGAACAGTCTTTGACCCAGGTGAAGGAGTTCAAGTATTGTGGAGTTTTGTTCATGAGTGATAAAATGATGGATCGTGAGATCGTCAGGTTAATCAGTGCAGCAGTAATGCTGTCAATGTACAGGCACGTTGTGGCAAAGAAGGAAATGAGTTGAAAGGCAAAGCTCTCAATTTGCAATCTAAAGTCAATCCACATTCCTAATCTCACTTATGGTCATGACTGAAAGGACAAGATCTTAGATACAAGAGTCCAAATCTAGTTTTCTTCGCAGCGAGGCAGGGGTACCCTCAGAGATGAGTCGAGTTACTGCTCCTCTACAGTAACACAAGCTAGTTGAGGTGGCTTGGGCATCTGATCCAGATGCCTCCTGGACGGATACTTAGGGAGGTGTTCCAGGCTTGTCCCACTGGTAAGAGGCCCCAAAGAAAGACCCAGACCCCACTGGGGGGACTATGGCTGCGTCCGAAACCGCATACTTCCATACTATATAGTACGCTAAAATCAGTATGCGAGCCGAGTAGTATGTCCGAATTCATAGAATTCGAAAATCAGTATGCGAGAAGTACCCGGATGACTTACTACTTCCGGCGAGATTCCGAAGTGAGCATCCCATGCATGCTGCGCTATCCCATGATGCCCCACGAGCGAATTCATGAATGGAAGTAAAGCGACGCAACTGATGCAGGTAGGTCACGTGACCATGACAAAATGGCGGATGTAGTACGTCCGAATTCCATTCATACTTTTCACATTCATACTGTATAGAACGTACTTTTCTAACGGCCGAGTAGTACGTTTAAACTCAAATGCAGTACCTACTGAGTAGTAGGCGGTTTCGGACGCAGCCTATGTCTCTCAGCTTGCCTGAGAACGCCTTAGGATCCCCTAGAGCAGAGATGTCCAAACTCGATCCTGGAGTACCAGTGTCCAGCTGAGTTTAGCTCGAACTTGCTTCAACACACCTGCCAGAAAGTTTCTAGCATATCTAGTAAGAGCTTGATTAGCTGGTTCAGGTGTGTTTGATTAGAGTTGGAGCCAAACTCCGGACAACGGCCCTCTTGGACCGAGTTTGGAAATCCCTGCCCTAGAGCATAGGTCTCAAACTCAACTCCTGGAGGGCCGCAGCTCTGCACAGTTTTACTCCAACCCTAGTCAAACACACCTGATCTATTTAATCAATGTGATCAAGACTACTAGAAACTATAAAGCAGGTGGGAGTTGGAGCTCCGGCCCTCCAGGAACTGAGTTTGAGACTACTGCCACAGAGTTGAGGTGTTCAAACTCAATCCTGGAGGGCCGATGTCCTGCATAGTTTAGCTTCAACTTCCTTCAACGCAACTCCCTGGAAGTTTGGTAAGTTAAAGTTAAGTTTTCTATTATTGGACTCGAATTTGGCATCCTACCGCACAACACAACATGTTTGCTTTTGCAACCGGTCTCTTTTTGCAACCCGTGTGACGTCATGTGTGACGTAGGTTGGTAATTCCTCTATAGTTAAAGGAAGATCAGCTCACCAGTCTGAAGATTACAGGGGTTAATCATGCAAACTTCTATATCTCCAAGCCAGATGACTTCATTTCAGCCCAGCCTATAATTGCCCAAACTCCTGGACGAAGCTCCGCATGCTCTCATACAATTAAGAGAAGTTCCAAGTGGACATTAAGTGACCCATCAATATTGCTAGTTTGCATATTTGTACATTAAGGTTACTCTCAGACGTGACACTCTTGTGTGTTTTTCAATGTTTCTGACTGACTGAATCTCACTTGTTTCTCTCCACTGTGAATGTTCTCATGTATTTTCAGGCTTCTTAACTGACTGAATCTCATGTCGCAGTATGAACACCTGTACGGTTTCTCTCTAGTGTGAATCCTCTCATGTGATTTCTGGTTTCCTAAATGTCTGAATCTCTTGTCGCAGTGTGAACACTTGTAAAGTTTCTCTGCAGTGTGCATCCTCTCATGTGATTTCTGGTTTCCTATGCAACTGAATCTCTTGTCGCAGTGTGAACATTTATAAGGTTTCTCTCCAGTGTGAATCCTCTGGTGTTGTTTTAGACATTTTGCATCACGAAATCTCTTGTTGCAGTGTGAACACATGTAAGGTTTCTCTCCAGTGTGAATCCTCTCATGTGATTTCTGGTTCTCTATCCGACTGAATCTCTTGTCGCAGTGTATACACTTGTAAGGTTTCTCTCCAGTGTGAGTCCTCTCATGTGTTTTCTGGCTTCCTAAATACATGAATCGCATGTCGCAGTGTGCACACTTGTAAGGCTTCTCTCCAGTGTGAATCATCTGGTGTTGTTTTAGGATAGCAGCTGTAATAAAGGTCTTCTCACACTCAAAGCACACATACTCTCTCACACCGGTGTGAGTCTTCTGATGATATCTCAAACTTGTTTGATTTGCAAAACTCTTTCCACACAGTGCGCATGAATAAAGCTTCTCTTTTGTATGAACTCTAAGGTGATCATTCAGCTCTGAAGCCCTCAAAAATGTCTTGCTGCATTGACCACATGTGTGTGTTTTCTCTCCAGTGTGGATCAACATGTGTTTATTAAGGTTTGATGCATCTCTGAAGCTCTTGCCACACTGAGAACATGTGAATGGTTTCTCTCCGGTGTGGATCCTCATGTGGACCTTGAGATTCTCTTTGTTTGACAGACTCCTGCCACACTCAGTGCAGGTGAAACATTTTTTGTCTTTTCTCTTCAGTGATTTAGTTTTTTCTCTCTCTTTAACATGGCGTGTCTCCTCCATCAGGCCTGAAATAAAAGTGAAAAGAGCATTTTTATAGAAGTGACACAAAAAAAAGATAGTAGACAACAATGAACTATTCCAGCATATGTTTTACGCAGTGGATGCCCTTCCAGCCACATCCCAGTACTGGGAAACTCCCATACACACTCATTCACACATACACACACACCCACTACGGCCAATTATGTTTACACAATTCCCCTATAGCGAATGTGTTCGGACTGTGGGGGAAACCGGAGCACCCGGAGGAAACCCACACCAACACGGGGAGAACATGCAAACTCCACACAGAAATGCCAACTGGCCCAGCCGGGACTCGAACCAGCAACCTTCTTGCTGTGAGGTGACAGTGCTAAGTTTTTCAGAATCAGATTTATTGCCAAGTGTGCTTCAAACACACAAATCTGTTTTGGCTACAGAAGTTTCCAGTGTACATCAAGTGACAACACAAAATAAATATGAGAAAACGGATGATAAACATTAAACAGAGACGCAGTTAGTCAAGAAAGATCTGGATGTTGAGCTGTATGGACAGATTTGTTATAAATATACAGGTTATAAGGTGCTGAGTAATATATGCAGACATCCTACCCTGAAAACTACGATCAGCGAGGAACTATAATAGAATATTTCAGAGCTTCGGTATCTGTATTTATCGCCTGGACACTATTGTTAATAACTATTAAAAAAAAGTTTGGTATGAAGTGAAGGATTCTGATTTCTGCTACGGCTTCTCCGTCTCATCATGGACCAACGTTTATCCTTTTCATCATCCTGTTTCTCAGTATTTAACTGTGAATTGATTTTAATTAATGAATAAGTTAACACATTGCTTAATATAAGAATGTTCAGTGCATTTGCCTGTCTCTTTATACCTATTTTGGAGACCTTGAGTGGAACTGAGGGCTGAGGACTGGAAGCAACTGTTTCTATTGTTGTTTCTACAAGTTAATATTGTTTAAAATGTCTAAAGTGATTTTGCTATAGTTTTACGGTTAAATCTTTTAAAGTGATTCTACTTTTTATTCAAGATAGACTTTGTGTAGTAAGGATATTATAACTGCCTGAATGTAGATGATACTGGTTTTTAACCAGTTTCGATAAAGACGGCTGACAGTACAGTCAGCCTTGGATAAGAAACAGATTATACTTTGTGTGTGTGTGTTCTATTTGGTTGTTGATCCATTTCACAGGTCTGGAGTCAGCTCTAATCAGTCTAAAGGGTGTCTGACGTTTATGTTTAGATATTGTTCAGAATATACGCACGAACCACATGTAGAAATGTTCCTAGTTTATCTGTGTTTTAACCAATCAGGTTAGAACACCTGTATGTGTGACGCAGTTAATGACGTTATGTGAGAGTATAATTGTTATTGATTGGTGATTGTAAGCAGAGCGGCCTGGGAACTCATTGCGAGTGTTGAAGCTGGCTTCTGCGAATGAAACTGCAAACTATCTTCAGTAAACTTGATTTATTTATTTAAATCTCTGACTCCGGCTCTTCTTCATCTACCAGACTGGTCATTCTTTGGGTTAAACTGCAAACTATCCCTACAGAAGTTTCGGTATGAAGGCTATAGTTTTATTGAAATGTGGCTGCTAAAGCCTGGTCTATACTTCTTTGCAAGTGACTGGCGTAACCCACGGCGCATGCAACTCGCGCAGCTGTGCATTTATACTTCTGCGCGCTGTCTCTGTTGGTCTGAATTAACACTTCTGAAACGCTAGTTGGCAGTGAGGTGTAAATGTTCCTCTGTGTCGAGTTTCTTCACTGCTGTTTTGCTTTTCCTGAACACTTCCTGGATGTACAAGTGGCTCAAACTCGCTCATTTTGAGGCAGGAACCGGCGGACGTGCAACAACTTTAACTATGAGGTAAACACAAAACAAAACTTTCCATCCGGAGCTCCTTCACGGGACTCCACACTTGTAAACAATCGCTCCATCAGGCTCGCACCATTCACGCAGCTCTCGGTGCTGCCCAGACTCGTCAGCGCTACCAAGCCGACCAATCACAGAGCTTGCGCTACGCGTCGTTGCGCCGTGTAGTTACATTTTTTGAGAGGTGCACATCAGCGCCGTAGCATACGCCGGCGTTTGACGCAGAAGTATAAATCAGCCTTCAAGCGTGCTCCTTGAAACTAGGGCTGGGCGGTATATCGGGTTCTGGGGATATATCGATATGATTCCCCAATGCAATGCGGTATTATCCAGTATCGTTCATATCGATATGGTTTGAGGCCACACATGCACATTCTGCGTGCAACAGACCACTCCAAGGCAGCACACGAGCTCCATTTGCACTGTTACATATTGAGTAACATTAATTTTGACAATGCAAGTGTGTATTGTTCCTGTGTGTTTCCTCTTATCTATCTCTTTCTTTCTCTCCACATGAGCGGAGATCAGGTGCAGCTGTGAGAGGGGCGGCGCCAGCTATAAAGGCACGCCGTTGACGCTCCTTATCGAGTTCTCTTCCTGTTTCCCCTCGCTTTTGTGTGTGTCTGAGCAGTTCACTCTGAGTTCTCTGTGCGGCAGTGATCTGTCTGAAACCTTTCTTTTCAAAGTAATCTGGTGAGATACTCTGTTAAATACGGTAATAGGACGGTAACCTGCATTAGCGGTGGCTGATTGTTTAATGCCTTTCTCCAACCCTGTTTCAAAGTCATCTGGTGAGATACTCTGTTAAATACGGTACTAGGACGGTATCATGTGTTAGCTGTGGCTAATATTTACCTTAATGCTGAATGATCAACGGGAAGGCCCTTTTTCTTTTGTCCAGTTTTCTCCTGTTTTGTGGTTAGTTATGGAGGTTAGAATTGTAAACTGTATTTATGGAATTTTATTTTTGGTATGGGTAAGAGGTTTAATATTAGGTAGCGTACCTTGTTTTGTTTGTTGTTTTGGCCTTTTTGTTCCCTGATTCTGATTTTGATCTTTTTGTTTAATAAATCTGATATCCCTTGTTGACAACTTGGCCTGTGTGTGTGTGCTTGGGGGAACAGGAACGGGGACTCCGGGTGACCACTTTTTATAGCGGTCATCCTTAAACTTATGTGCGTAGCGGGGTGCATCCGCTACGTAACATGCACAAATGTACGATTCACTCCCTAAGCCATACAAAAGATTTGTTCAAAATGAACGAATCATTCAAGAACGACCCATCACTGACGCGACATGGAGGAACATGCAGTGCCGGTGTTGTATCGAAATCTGACTCCCCGAACAAATCTGACTCCCCCTCGCGTGCACGCACGTCACACAAGGGTTTACCAAAAACCTTTTATCGGTCATTTCTTCCGCAATTGACAACAAGAACGAACACAGAAGCCTTGACAGATTGACATTGCAGCACCTGAATGTGTTCAGAGGAAATAAAAACGCCAAAATGGGAGGAATTTATACCGCATTTCAAAAGTGAAACCACCTCAAATTCACTGAATAAACTTCAGTATTTATTACACGACGGTCTCTTCTTTACATCTACACTTTAACACATTTAGCTCTCCATGCTGGTTTGTTATTGCATATTAACTTTAATCCTTTTATTTATTTAATTATTTATATTGTTTTAATTGATTTATTTAGTTTAGCCCCTTAACTGGAAGACAGTTTCTTTTTCTATTTTAATATATCCCCGCTAGCTACTCATTCCACAAATAACAAGAATGATAATTAGAATGATGATAATAACAGGGGGGGGACCCCTGTGTTCAAATTATATTTTGCTCATAAACTGTTTAATAAAGTTTTAATAAGAGCTGGGCGATGCAGTGGCGCAGTAGGTAGTGCTGTCGCCTCACAGCAAGAAGGTCGCTGGTTCGAGCCTCTGCCTTTCTGTGTGGAGTTTGCCTGTTCTCTCTGCGTTCGCATGGGTTTCCTCCGGGTGCTCCGGTTTCCCCCACAGTCCAAAGACATGCGGTACAGGTGAATTGGGTAGGCTAAATTGTCCGTAGTGTATGCGTAAAAACGTGCAGGAAAAGTTGGCGGTTCATTCCGCTGTGGTGACCCCGGATTAATAAAGGGAATAAGCCGACAAGAAAATTAGGGCCTACTCAAACTATGCCATCCGTATCGTGCCCAGGCCCGTTTCCCGGATCGTTTGAGAAGTGTGAAATCAGATTGGAGATATCTGCAAATATATTATGACTAGTCATATTCCTCTATTGACTTCCATTGAAAAATATTTGCAGATATCTCTAAATGAGTGGACTCGTTAAAAATCCAATTCAAGATATCTACAACTGTAATTCGACTATTAGTAAATTAATTAGAGATCTTCAAATACATTTGTAAATTTCTCTAAATATGACGAATTAAAGACATCTCCAAATGTATTATGACTAGTAAAAACTCCGTTAAAGATATCTCTAATTACAATTGTGACTAGTCAAAACTCATTTAGAGATATCTGCAAATATTTTTCAATGGAAGTCAATGGAGGAATATGACTAGTCATGATATATTTGCAGATATCTCCAATCTGATTTCGTACTAGTACAATTGCAATTGTAGATATCTCTAATTGTCATTCTGACTAGTCGAATTATAATTATGACTAGTCAAAATATAATTAGAGATATCTCTAAATATATTTATGGAGTCAGAACAAAGATTTAAATGCTAAAAAGGCTTGCCATAGAGAGCGCTTCTCACTGAACAGCGCAGCAGCGATGACGCAAGCGTGCCGAGGCCCGATATGGTGTGAGCGCGGGCAACTGTACCTAGTGTGAGTACGGCCTTAATAAATAAGAGCTTTAACTCTAAAGTGACCATTGATGGGAAAATACCGGATAGATATCGTACACTGTCATTCCACCTAAAAATACTGAGATATGATATTTTGTCCATTTCGCCCAGCCCTACTTGGAAGCAATGCCAATAAGCTTGCACTCGCACGACTTGCAAGATGCACACATGGGACTATTTCATTTAATCTAGTTATTATATAATTTTTTTGAATAGAGAGACTGAATACAGTTCAGGTCTACAACAATATAATATAATATAATATAATATAATATAATATAATATAATATAATATAATAATTCCTCCATTGCTACACTGGGTTCATGCTTGCCTGTACACAGACTAGACATATATTTAATAAAATGAAGGGTTTGACTGACTCTGAACAGAGTTTGTGAGGGAGCACAAAACTTGGCAAGACAAAGCAAAAACTTAAAAAAATAAAATGACTCTCCCACCACCACTTCCATTTAGGAGCTCCATAAAATAGTGACTGAAATAAGAGCTAAAAAGCAAAATGTAAAACGTATATGTAAAACGGTTTGTACCACAAATGATGTGAAAATCACCATTTACTCATTCAGATTAAAAAATATATTGATTTACAATTCCTAAAACACATTTATGTTAGACAGACATTATGTATAGGAGAGCTTTTGTCATGAATATTGATGACCGTTCTCACCTTTAAGGCTGATTTATACTTCTGCGTCAAACACCGGTGTATGCTACGGCGCTGACGCATAGCCCTTCGCCGTGGCCGTCTGTGTCGCTGGTGTGCACCTCTCAAAAAATGTAACTACACGTCGCAACGACGCGTAGCACAAGCTCTGTGATTGGTCGGCTTGGTAGCGCTGACGAGTCTGGGCGGGACCGAGAGCCGCGTGAATGGTGCGAGCCAGATGGAGCGATTGTTTAGATTGAAGTGTGGAGTCCTGTGAAGGAGCTCCGGATGGAAAGTTTTGTTTTGTGTTTACCTCATAGTTAAAGTTGTTGCACGTCCGCCGGTTCCTGCCTCAAAATGAGCGAGTTTGAGCCACTTGTACATCCCGGAAGTGTTCAGGAAAAGCAAAACAGCAGTGAAGAAACTCGACACAGAGGAACATTTACACCTCACTGCCAACTAGCGTTTCGGAAGTGTTAATGCAGACCAACAGAGACAGCGCGCAGAAGTATAAATGCACAGCTACGCGCGTTGCATGTGCCGTGGGTTACGCCGGTCACTTGAAGCAGAAGTATATACCAGGCTTTAAAGGGAAAGTCTGTCTCCTGATGGGCCATCAGTGTGAGACAGAGTAAATCAGGAGATCAACACTAGGCAACACTTAAAGTAAATCACAATCTTTCATCAAAGTTCTTGTCTTTGACCCATTCTTGTCTTAAAGCAACTTTGATTAACTTTATTGATCCACTTCAAATGTTGACTCATGCAGAGTTTCTTTGTGTTTCTGTAGACTATGAACAACTTAGTCCACAAAATAAGTGCATTTCTGTTCAACTGAAGACATAATTGAACATACCTGACATTTCCAGAGCCCTTCCTGGTGTTTCTGCCATGAAGTTCTCAGTGATGGAGTTCACCTTCAGCATGTGTAGAATAATATCAGTCCACAGTACCGCTCGCTCTGCAACATCAACACCAGCAATTACTAAAACTAATATTCACTCACAACAAACATGTTTCGCAATATTCAACTGTATTATATTATTATATACAAACATTTTTATATTGCATACAAGAAACTGCACTGGTGTTGTTAAGATCATCATAAACAGATTTGATCACACTTTTTGAGGTCTCCTTTGCTCACAAAAGCAACATTTGTTTGATAAGAAAGGCAAAAAGTAGAGTTGTGAAATTGTAGTTCAATTTAGAGGAACTGTGTTTAATGTAAATATAACGTTAAATATACCTTTAATGGTTTAAATATTCTTCAAAATAACATTAAGTAAAAATGTGGTCATTGCTTTGATTATTATAACATTTAGGTTCATTTAAAGATTCTCTCATGAATGTTTATATTATATACATATTTTATAAAGTACCAAATATCTCGTGTCTGCAACACAGTTATAATAATAAACTGTTATTTGAGCATCAATTCAGCACATATGAACAGTCTCTGAATGATTTTGGCACTGAAGACTGAAGCACTGATGCTGAAAACTTCACCTTGACCACAAACGAAAGATCTTAAACAACATTCACACGAAAAACAAGCACTTTAAACGACATTCACACTTTAAAGCTTATTTTATTCATGTTTTTGTTCTAATAGTCTCAACATCAGTGATGTGTTTAATGTCTACTTTTTATTTGCAAATATTTTGACTAGTTAACTTAAGCTATGGCAAAATATATACATATAATAGCTGACCTGAAACACGTGTCCTCCTCCGAATAAAGCTGCATCTGCTGGTCCTCTAAGGTAATAATTTCCAAATTTACAACTGTTCCTCACAGTGAGTCTTGTAAATAAAACTGACTCTTTCCCAGCAGTGCTTTGTTTTGTTTGGCGGCGCTTGCTTACGCTGGTGGCACTTCTTCTTATTAATATTTTTGACAGTTGGCAACCAGCATTTTGGAATATTACTGCCACCATCTGGATTGGAGTGTGAAACATGAGTTAACATATGCATTTCTTATGGTAAAACAAAACGCCAATAAAATTAAATAAATAGAAAGAAAATAAATATTTTTTTAAAATTTAAAAATAAATATTAATAAAAAAACAACAGACAACTTTCACCAAAGTGCTTTTTTTTCTATTGATTACTTTAAGCCCTTTCCATTTGCATTATACAGCTATATTACTATATATACCTAACTCTATTACTTAACCCTGTGTCTTTCAAAAAGTTAAAAATGTCAATGTCAATTTTATTTATATAGCACTATTAAACACAACCAAAGGTTGACCAATGTGCTGAACAATAAATCACAAAGAACAAGTATAAAATTATAGCTAAAACAAACAAATTCTCACTAATAGTTAATATAACTAAAAACAATTCTCACTGATAAAATGCCAAATCAAAAAGGCAAGGCTGATTTAAAAACAGACAGAGATTATATAGACCTAATACCGAGGGGCAGAGCATTCCAGTAGGACCAGCTACTGCGAAAGCCCGGTCACCCCTGCATTTCAGCCTCGACTTTGGGATGTATGATAGTCTCTGGTTTGATGACCGAAGAGACCAACCAGGCTGATGTTCAGTCAACAGGTCTGACAGGTAGGAAGGAGCTAAGCCATTTAGAGATTTAAAAACCAGGAGAAGAATTTTAAAAGTGGCACAACAGTGCAGAGGCAACCAGTGCAGAAAGCTCAGTACTGGTGTGATGTGGTCATTGTTTTTGGTGCTGGTTAAAAGCCTTGCAGCAGCATTTTGAACTAGCTGTACGCGGGATAGAGTTGTCTGGCTGATCCCAAAGTATAGCAATTCAATTCAATTCAGCTTTATTTGTATAGCGCTTTTACAATGTAGATTGTGTCAAAGCAGCTTCACATAAATGGTCATAGTAACTGGAACAGGGTAGTTCAGTAACTGGAACAGTGTGGTTCAGGTTTTAGTGTTTAAGTTCAGTTCAGTTTAGCTCAGTTCAGTGTGATTTAATCATTACTGAGAGTTCAAACACTGAAGAGCCAGTAATCATTACAGTAATCCAATCTAGAAGTAATAAAAGCATGAAATATTTTTTCAAAATTTTTCCTAGATAAAATAGGTTTGACTGTTTTTAAAAGTTGAAGCTGAAAAAAGCAGGATTTGACCACTGCGCTAATCTGTTTATCAAATCTCAAGTCATCATTAGGGCCAGACGGAATCTGCAGATGTTTTTTTGCTATTTCTGCGGAGAATTTTGGTAAAAATCTGCGGATTTCTGCGGAATTATTTTGGGAGTATCCAGCGGAGTATCATAACTTACACTTTAATATATTAAATAAAAAGTAATAAATTACTGAATAAAAACTGAATAAATTCAGATTTACACATTTACTCAAGTAAATAAACAGAATTTATAATGGGCTAAAAAAACTGCAGAAATCTGCGGAAAATCTACGGAATTCTGCACGCGCAGATTCCGTGTGGGCCAAGCCATCATCAAAGATAACACCCAGATTTTTTACACAAGGCTTCACAGACAAACCCAAATCACCAAGATCAGCTGGTGATGTCCTAGAATAATTTGACGAGCCGAACACAACTGTTTCAGTTTTGCTCTCATTAAAATCTAGAAAGTTCAAAGACAACCAGACTTTCACATCCGACAGGCAAGACACAAGAGTCTCCAGTCCACTTGAATTCTGTTTTAAAGGCAGGTAAATTTGAGTGTCATCTGCATAACAGTGGAAAGACAGACCATGTTTTTGAAAAATAGGACCCAGGGGAAGCATATATGAGGAAAGAAGAATCGGGGCTAAAATAGATCCCTGGGGAACACCACATGACAAAAAGGCTGCCTCAGAAGAATGATCACCAATGGTGACTTTAAAACTGCGATTGGAAAGATAAGACTTAAACCAATCCAGGGCACTTCCTTTTATACCTAAACAATGCTCCAAGCGGGCTAGCAATTAAACATATCTAAACATAAACATATCTAAAACACACATCCAATGTGCTCAACTTTAAGATGTTCTCTATGTTAGGTTCCACTTGTTTTTCCTGTAACTGCTTGAATAATTATTTCTTTCTGTTTGATATATAGAGTGGAGGAACTATGACGTCAATTTGTATGCAAAAACCTGGAAGCGAGTTAGCATTTTAGCAGTTTTGGTTCCCTCGTCCCAAAGTCAATGGGTTTTTTGAATGGGGTTTAAGTAAAATCGCTTAAATAAGGTTCGTGGCGAACACGAACTCAAGATACTTTCACGTTTGTTCTACGACATGAAACACATCAGTCACAGCACACTCTTGAGTTTTTAATTCGGCCATGCTTCTTTAAAAAGACGGTTGCTATCAAGTTGCTAAATGGGACTGCAGGCGGTGTCTGAGACATACGTCATCGAGCTGATCTGGTCTGGAGCGCAGCTCGCTGGTTTTGGGCGTTTGGGTTTGTCTGTTATTTAGGTATTTTCATGAATAGTATTTTATAGTTTGTTGTATTGTTCTAATTGGGAATTCAGATTGTGCGTAGATAATATCTTCGAGACAGATTTATTTGTTGATGATTGATTTTATTAAACAATATTATGAAGATACTGCTCACCAATGCAGTCTCTTTCCTGCTCTCAGTAATGCAAACGTGTGAATAAATGTGTAAAAATACAGACATATTAACTGTCATTTTCACGTGATCAAGTGATCGTTCGTCTTTTTTTCTTCATCTGATCACATTTAACTGCCATAACTGCAGTATTTACACTCCTCCATAAAATGTATAGCAGATGTGACTGTATGGGCTGCTTTTCGCTGTACGTCGTGACAAAAAAGGGATATTGAATGTTGCTTTGTGCTCAGGCATTTGATAGACTTGTCCCTCCTCATGCCTCATTTCTGTCGTCTGTTAAGGTAAGCAGGCTGTGTGCACGCGAGCGATACACTTATGTAAATATGTCTCATGATAATACTATGTATTATGTTATACGCACATTTTTAAAACTTTTAGAACCGTACAGCAAAACAGATGTATTTCCCACGTAAAAACGATCTAAAAGGCATGTAGGTCTATGTGTTTTTACGTATTTATTTGTTTATAATATATACGGTGGATTATAATATAATAAACAGAGGGATTAACTCTTTGTCATGGACATTATTTCTAAAAAATAAGCTTGAAAAGTTGTCTGTAGCAGGGTGGGGCTGACGTCACAGATGAGTGCCCCTTTTAGATGTGTATTCACAGGGTTTAACACATTTGGGTGCTATGAATACTGAAAGAGTTCAGCTCTTTCAGATGAAAATATTGATTTTACTATTGCCTACATCCAATCCTGATATCAAGTTACATGTAAAGACAAACAACTCAAAAACTAGAGGACTTGAAAAGATGAATAAATACATTTTTTTGGCTCAAAGTGCATAGAGGATGGATCTACAGATATTTCAAGTTAATAATGAACGACTCAAACCTGATAGAATATAAAATTATTATTCATTTCCATTATCTGCACACAGAGCAATGAAAGAATCACTGTGAAAGGACCCAATATGCAGAGTCACATTAATGCCTAGTTCACACTAGAGGATTTTAAGCCTGATTTGAGCCCGATTTGGAAGTTAACGAGCTCGCCGACAGATCGGGCTGTGATCGGGAAGAAATCTGCGGGTGCTCGCCGCTCGCTATGTGTGAACTACTGAACAACGCATCAACGAGGCTCGCTGACGCGTCGCCGACACCTCGCAGACGGAAATCCAACATTCAGCATGCTAAATATTCCAGAGCAGTCGGCCGACTCAACCCCACGTGTGGTCAGATGTAGTGACGAGCTGCAGCCAATGAGAGAGCATATCAGCATGAGCTGAATGGCTGTGTGTTCAGGAGCTCAGCAGAAACATCTGTGATTGGTCAGAATGGGCATCAGTGCACTCGCTTCATTCTGCGTTAGCACAGACATGAGAGTAGGCTAGGGGCCATGAAACCCCCCACTTTCGGTTCAAGTCTACCTCAGAATTAAAAAAAAAAATTGCATCATAATGGACATAGAGCTCTGCGAATAGAGGCAGGAGTGGGCGTGGCCAGCAGAGCAGGGGAGAAGGAGGGGAGTGAACTGTTGTCAGAGGCTGTACTCACACTATGTACAGTTGCCTTGAACCGGGCCAAAGCACGCTTGTCCCCCCACCCGTCTCCCCCGACGGCCCGCACTCACATAAAATCGCGCCTCGGCACGCTTACGTCATCGATGCTGTGCTGTTCAGTGAGCGCTGTCGCTCAGCACAGTGGAGATTTCTCTAGTTATGTCGTTTCAGTCGTTTGTTATGCAGTGACATGCAGTCAAAAATTTCGCCAAACAGTCCTTAGGGATGCGGTGACATGCAGTCAGATATTTCACCGAACAGATCCGCCACTTTTGGCGCTCATAAACAATCATAAAGCTCTCGTGCTGCAGGAATGAGGAGGTCTGCTGAAGGTGCAGCTGTCGTGCAGTGAGGGGTTTGAGTATTTAATAAACTACAGCAGTTTGCGTTCACTGAACAGTAAGAATGATTAATAAATCAATATGAAACAGTCCTATAAAAGTCACGTCTCGCTTTAAGTTTCGGGCTTAAGTTTCAAAGCCCAAGTGAACTGCGCTCAGGCTCACCTCTTCCAACCAGGCCAGGGCCGGCCAAGTGAACCGTGCTTGAGCCCGATTCAGCGCACTCACACTTCTCAAACAATCCGGGAAACGGGCCTGGGCACGGTACGGATGGCATAGTGTGAGTACGCCCAGAGTAAACTGTTGTTGTGAGAAACTAGGGTTGTGCCGATAGACGATAGTATCGTGTATCAACACTACACAATACACATCTCAAAGCAAATTAAGTTAAAAATAACAGGCTAAATAACAAAACTGGATTTAATTAACAAACAAGTTAAATAAAATATTTTTTAAAAATTCATTCAATTCAATTCAATTGAGCTTTATTTGTATAGCGCTTTTACAATGTAGATTGTGTCAAAGCAGCTTCACATAAATGGTCATAGTAACTGGATCAGTGTAGTTCAGTTTTTAGTGTTTTAAGTTCAGTACAGTTCAGTTTAGCTCAGTTCAGTGTGATTTAATCATTACTGAGAGTCCAAACACTGAAGAGCAAATTCATCGATGAATTAAACAACTGAAGAAGAAAATTAAAGAACTCTGATATACATACTTGTCTTATTTGTGTTTAATTCGATAGAATGATAAACACGGACATGCGCATTTTTCAGAAAAAATAACTATTTAATTAATTTAAAAATATGTTGGCTTATATTTGTTTATATAGGCTATTAAAATATAGTTTATTTATTTATCTAAACTAGCCTATATTAAATTAAATTACAATCTCTATTTCACTATTCGTTTTGGCATTAAAGACATATTGAACAGGTTATTAATTAATTAATTCTTCTCAAAGAACATTTTACTGAGTTCAGTGAAAAGTTTTAGACCTAAAAGGCTATTTCAGCCTGATCTCATGAGGAAAGGCAAGTATTTTACGTTTTGTTAGTTTATTGGCTAGTTTTCATGAATTTGTACGAGTTCAGCCGTACGAAAATGTACGATTTTAAAAAGGAGGCGTGACACCCAATCCCACCCCTTACCCCAACCGTCATTGGGTGATGCATAAATTGTACGAATTAGATCGTACAAACTCATACGAACTAGCCACTACATTAAAAAGTTACAAATTGGCCAGAGATTGTGTTGGCTATTTAATATTAGAGCAATAGGTTATTAACCACTCGCCGCAGCCATGTCTAAAATGAAACTCTTATCAGAAAACAATAAACACAAATGCGCCTATGCCAAGCGCAACATTGTGTTAGATATAGGCAAGTACAAATGTGACACTGTTGATGATTACTTTTGTGATGATCATCAGACCTGAAGCCGCGCCCAACTAAACAAAAACATGGAAAACTTCACCGCATATTCACATGTGGGCGGCAAGTCCTTCATCTGCTTCCTGTCTGAAAGGACCTTAATGCATCCTTGTTTCTTAAGTGCAAAGATAACTATCATTTCATTTGCTTTCATCAATGTATATTATATCTATTTTGCAGCAGTCTCGCGGGCCGAGGATAACGGCACTGATCCTGAAGTCACCATCAGATCCTGTCCAGCACCGCACTGTAGCATAGAGTCTTGTTTGAAACTATTTTGCTCTCAGAGCCTATTCAGCAGTAAGAGCACAGTGATTTGTATTAGTTTGAATTATTATCCAAGATCAAACATAATGCAAATGCAGTAATATATATGTTATATATATGTAAATGTATATATATATATATATATATATATATATATATATATATATATATATATATATATATATATATATATATGTGTGTGTATATATATATATATATATATGTGTGTGTGTATATATATATATATATATATATATATGTGTGTGTGTGTATATATATTTGTGTGTGTGTGTATATATATATATATATATATATATATATATATATGTGTGTGTTTGTATATATATATATATATATATAGATTATAATATGTATATATATATATGTGTATATATATGTATATATATATATATATATATATATATATATGTATATGTATATATGTATATATATATATATATATATATATATATATATATATATATAAATATACATATTTATATACACACACACACACACACATATATATATATATATATATATATATACACACACACATACACATATACACATACACATATATATAAACTTAACACTGCCGCGCTCCCATGCGATAGTATTGTGTATTGGCGATCTCACAAGGAGACGATATGGCGATCTGAAAATTTCGTATATCGCCCAACACTAGAGAAGACCCATGATTTTACAGTTTACAAAGCTAAAATGCTAAGAAATAAACAGTAATTTAATGCCCGGCTACATTTGTTATTCGCAGTTTCATACACACACACCACAATTTATATCATAACAAAGATAATCGTGTTCACATAAACACTATAAATGAGAAGGACTTCTCCCTCAATCCCCGGGTCTGAATGCAGACTCACTGTAGCAGGTCTCTTGCCCTGCCAATTTCAACCATTAGCCCTTTTGGTAATCTGAAGGATTTAGGCCAGGGGAGTACAAACTTGGTCCTGGAGGGCCGGTGTCCTGCAAAGTTTAGTTCCAACCCCAATCAGACACACCTTGGCTAGCTAATCAAGCTCTTACTAGGCTTTCTAGAAGCATCCTTGCAGGTGTGTTGAAGCAAGTAAGAGCTAAAATCTGCAGGTCACCGGCCCTCCAGGGCAGAGTTTGGACTGCCCTGATTTAGGCGAACACAGCAGCACGGCGATGTGTCTAAATGTGAACGAACTCCACTGATAAAAGACAAAGTCTGCCATTCTCCAATTCTCGTCCTGCTCTCCCGACAAAAGATTATTCGCAGATGTGACCCTCTTGTGTTTTTTTCAATGTTTCTGACTGACTGAATCTCACTTGTTTCTCCTTAATGTGAATCTTCTCATGTTTTTTTAGGCCTCCTAACTGAGTGAATGTCTTGTCGCAGTGTGAACACTTGTACGGTTTCTCTCCAGTGTGAATCCTCTCATGTATTTTCAGATGTGATAACTGACTAAATCTCATGTCACAGTGGGAACACTTGTAAGGTTTCTCTCCAGTGTGAGTCCTCTCATGTGCTTTCAGATGTGGTAACTGACTGAATCTCTTGTCGCAGTGTGAACACATGTACGGTTTCTCTCCAGTATGAATCATCTGGTGTTGTTGTAAGTTTGCAGCTGTAATAAAAGTCTTTCCACACTCAAAGCACACATACTCTCTCACACCGGTGTGGATCTTCTGATGTTTTCTTAAATTTCTTTGATGTACAAAACTCTTTCCACACACAGAGCATGAAGGCTTCTCAGTTGCATGAACTCTAAGGTGATCATTCAGGCTTGAAGCCAACAGAAAGGAATTTCCGCATTGATCACATGTGTGTGTTTTCTCTCCAGTGTGGATCAACTTGTGTTTCTTAAGGGCAGATGCATCTCTGAAACTCTTTCCACACTGAGAGCATGTGAATGGTCTCTCTCCAGTGTGGATCCTCATGTGGACCTTGAGACTGTCTTTGTTTGCCAGACTCTTTCCACACTGAGTGCAGGTGACACATTTTTTGTCTTTTCTCTTCGGTGAGTGAGCTTTTCCTCTCATTTTAACATGTGTCTCCTCAATTAGGCCTGAAATAAAAGTGAAAAAACAGCATTTTATTTAAGTGATATAAACAAATGATAGCAGACAACAACTATAAAATCACGATCATTTCAGTCTTCAGCGAGTTACACCGATCTTCCAGTCACCTTCTTTATATAAATATTTAATATTTGCCCAAACTATTTTCCTTCATTCATTCAATTTCAACAACTGCTGTAACACATTGAGCCACTAAACACTGTTCTTATGATGTTTTTCTACAGGAGGAAAATGTGAATTACTTCCAAACACTTCAACTATAGTCTGTGTTAGTAAATGCAAGACTATTGATGAAATCCAGGCAGAACACTGTAGGACAACATTTAACTGTTCTAGAGTCTACAGCTAATCAATCTGTCAGATTCTGGAGTGCATCACAGCTCTAAGAGGAAAGCGGAGAAGGCAGAGAAATCTGTGCGACCCTAGTCATTCAAACATGTTGGAGTCTTTGATAAGGAGGATTGGGGTGAACGCAAGATAAACCACTACAGAATCCTACTTTGGTTCCGTTTTGAAGTGAGGAGCGTAATGTCCCTGGTGCTGGTGTTTTTTATTTGTTATTCAGCTTAACAAGCATGACAAGAACAATTCAAACTGAGCTTTGGCATGTTGGCTGGTGCTGAGCCAGAGAAAGACGTGTCATATGATCACAATTATGCAGCGTTTTTAACCACCCAATGCTTATTTTATGTTTTAGACATGTAAATATACACAAGTACTAGTAAAGCAAGATGTTTAGAGTTTGTAAAACACAAAAGAAAGTCTAACTATCCATTCAGATATAATTTCCTAATGTGTATTATTCATATCAGATACACATAGTGAAAGTAACAATAAAGTTCAGTCTATTCTTCTCCCAGTTGGCCAGCCACTTGCCTGCATGCATTTTGGAAGTAACTGATGAATTTATGCGCTGAATCCTGTGTGTTTTGTGTTTATGAATGGGGCATACGACCAGACGCAAGTAAACGTGCCGGTCTCACGTTAAAGATCACCATCAAGATCATTTATACATCTTTAAACAACTAAAGCACTCGCAAATTTTTGTGTGTTGGAATATCAGCTCATTGATGACATAATAGGCAAGCCTGTGACTATTTTGCATTAACACAGAAAAGCTAATAAAAGGAATACATCTGTCATACAGCGCTATTGTGACTGCGGTGTGTCACGTGACAAACATGATGCGTCGCCACTGAAATATTAAGAGTGAACTTTCTAAAATAGTGATCGCCAAACAAAAACTCACTCTCGGGGCCCTACAGAATCTTTCAAACTCAGCAGTGAAAGGGTTAATAACAGAAATAAAGCAGCGGTGGTCGAGTTACTTTGCACTTTGCATTGCAAGACTAAAGACTCGCATGTAATCACTCGCATTTTTTGGATCATTTACTTTTCCATCTGCTGTCATGTATAGCTGCTCTGCAAAACACTTACTTGGTAATTTAGTCTCTTAAATAATTAGGATTATTTTTCTTACCCCATTAGCAAATCATTTTGCTTGTTTTAAGCAAACAATCACTTAATTTTCAGGTGTTTCTTTCAGAAGACATCATTTCTTATGCTATTTCATGTGTCTAGTAGAGGGGTCTCAAACTGCCGGCCCGCAGGCCATTTTCTCCCACCTCCTCCTCCCTCTGGCCCTCAACTGACATCAACAACACTGACATTAACAAGATTCAGCTAACCAAAACATACATTTTTGAATCACTATCAATGTTGTGCAGTCGCATATACACTTGTAGTTTTGACCCCAGCCTACTACACACTACACATTTAAAGTACTGTACTACATATTCAGGTTACTTTCGGTTTCTTTCTCGAGAGTAACACATGCAGATTATGTCTGGGGCTGATTTAAATGTTGAAATATATAAACGCAAGTGCTCTATTTTTACTAAAACTCTATTTTTTTAAATTATTCAAGGGTCATTTGATTGTGATCAGTTTTATACCACCTGTATTGTGTTGTACAGACACGTCTGGCTTACACGTTATGCTGGTGTTGTAGTTTTAAAAATAAATAAAGATACTGAGAAGAACAATTACTGGTAAAGTCACTAAAGTTAACAAATAAATTACCAAATTAGACATTATTATTAAATTGTAGCATTTTTAAGGCAATTTAAACTACCCCTTCAATATGTAAGGAGCTTTTACTGCATATACTCAGGGGAAGAATGTCTGAGTGCATCAATGACATGAGGTTTCCACTTATTTGCTGTGCTTGAATGTTAAAGCCGCCCTCCTATGAATAGTCAGTCCCAGATATTGAAAACAGGACAAAACTACAAAGTTATTTTTTTATTATTATTATTATTATAACAGCTCAGTGATGTTCAAGGACAACATGTTTGTGCACTTTCTAAAGATTTTAGTTCTGTTTTTGAATGAAGCGTTGGACATTAATAATTTTCTCTTTTTTTTTTATCTGATAAATAGATTACTTGAAAAAAATAATCAACAGATGAAATGATTATTAAATTATTCGTTAGTTGCAGCCCTAAAAAGTACATTTGAGTGTGAAACAGAAGAGTACGCAAACTTTGGCACATACTCCTTCCTCATTAACTGAACGTTATGTTGTTTAGTCACGTCCCCTTTCAATCATCTCCACACATCATCCACATTTCTTTTATATTTAATTGCCTACATTACTGGAGATTCAACTGTGTGTTAAGGTTTATTAGAGAGTTAAGGTTATTATTCAGTCAGGGAAGTGTGAAATCTTAATCTCTTTATCTTGCTTTTGTGCGATGTCCTCTGAAAATATGAACTGGTAAATAAGTAACATAAATAAGGAGAGAAACATAAATAAGGACAGAATCATACCTGTTTGTGTATGAAATATCAGCTGAAATAACAAAGTCCAGCGTTCCTGATCGCTTCTGTAGAGGAATTTACAGTTGAGCCCCAATATATACTGAATAAAGGCAAGCAGCTGAAGTGTCCGTCAGATAAACAGTCTGGCAGCAGAAGGTTCAATATAAAAGCTGGAGTGTGTTGTCGTGATTTCTTCAGCACTGAACCTCCACACGAGTTTTCCTTGCTCTGAGCTTTTACTCGGATAATGCCTCTGCTAACTGTGTGCTCAGCACTACTGCCATCTAGAGGACAATAACAGCAGCATCCACTAATCGCCACATCCCATTTAATTAGAGAGAAAACATCATCTGCAGAGCAAACCCAAAATACACTGCAGCTTTGCTTTGTTTTTGGGTGATTGTAAGTTCACGCTAGTGACGCCATCATGTGGTTTGTATTTGAATTACGGAAGGCGGGAACGCGTGTTCGAAATAGAATCAGTGTTCCAAACCGCAGAATGTTGATAAGAGAATGTCAAAGGTTCTGTTGTATTTTTGGCCATTTCCGTAAGAAATGTTAAGTACTTTAACTGCTAATTTTGCCCACAATATTATTATATCTTGGAGGCGAATCAATCAGTACTACATACTTGGGGGGTGTAAACAAACTACAAACATGGCGGACGCGCAGGGCCAACCGTCAAAAAGATTGTACTCATTTCAAATTTAATTTCAAAAAGAGTAGACTGACGCTTTCATTTCTCTTCTTTCCTCCCTGTATTTCTTAGAGTTCTACTCTTTACTGAGGTGTTCCTACCTTGTTTTTTGGATCTGTTTCACAACGAGCAATTATCTCTGCTTTTCTGCAGTAGACGTCAAGTGTCATAAGTAAACATCTTCAGGGTGGACATGCAGCAAAAAAAACACTTTAAATGTTAGTATATTTCACTGATATGATGTAATAATGCAGCAGAAATCATTTAACATTATAAGAAAATGATTTTTATTATAATAGACTAACACAAATAGTTTTTAAAATGAAGTTTTAATAATAAAAGTCAACAGAACTGCAATACATGAAATAATGACTAAGAATACTTTTCTGATAAAACAGCCATTATGGATGGAAAACCAGCATTCAGATAGAAATCCACCATTTAATGATCTCCTACACCAGTATTTTTTCAATGTTCAGATATAAACACTCTTTCCACAATAGTAAATGTTTCGCTAAATGTGTTATCCGGGCAGTTTCTCTCAGTTAGAATCTTTTCATGGTGTTTTTAGTTTTTTCACTGACTGAATCTCTTCACATTATTGATGAAGAGTTCAGATCATTTTATAAACTGATCATTTAGTCTTGATCTCTGAGGTCTTAGTTTACCCTTTGTCTTTCAAGTCCTTCGGTAGTCAATTGATTATTTTTGTCACGTCACAACTACAAAGACATGCACTATGGGTAAATCGGGTAAGCTAAAATTATCCAGAGTTAATGTGTGTAAATAAGTGTATGAGTGTTGCCCAGTGATAGGTTGCAGCTGAAAGGGCATCCACTGCGTGAAACATATGCTGGAAAAGGCGGTTCATTCTGCTGTGGTGACCTCTGATTAATAAAATGACTAAGCCGAAACAAAAATGAATGAATGAATAATAGATGTCTAATAGATGTAGAAACAGTCATCTTGGCTAAAACAAGGCTACATTTGGGCTGTCAGTGAAATTCTAACAGACATCTAATAATAGGCCAAAACTAGACTAATCATCAAATAAACTGAAATGATTGACAACACATATAAAGTCTGTCTAATCGGTCTATTTGACGACTAGTCTAGTTTTGGGGCATTCTTAGACGTCTACTAGATTTTCACCATCAGCCCAAGTTTAGCCTTGTTTTAGCCAAGCTGTGAAAATTCAGGAAGTCAGTCTAAGTTGGCAACAGAGAAGCACAGTGACACAGAAAATAAACGCTCAGGGATGTCTGCACGGCAAAACAAATCTTGGCTTCTTTTTTGTTTTTCACACTTCACTCTCTTGTTTGTTTCTGAAAGGATAAGATGTGAGAAGTAGGGTTGGGTATCGAAACCCAGCGAGTTTCGGTGCCTAATTCAGGTGCCACTGGTGCTGCGACAAGAACATAAAGCAGGTCGCACACACGAAGCGCCGCTCAACGATGCGCAGCACCATGCATTTTAGAATTCGCAAGTCAGCAGCTGTCCGCAGCGCCCAGACACGACTCATGCCTGTTCATATTTCTGCCGCGCTACAGAGCGCCATCTGGATAGTTTCATTTTAAATAACATGCGAATGTGCACGTCTGGTGTGTGATACTATCAACTGTGATGTGCGCGCCATGCCGCGGCTCTGAGCGGCACATCTGCTGTGTGACGTCCTTAAGAAGCATCAAGGGGTGCATCAAAGGCACATATGAGTACGTTGTGTCACACCATCTCTAAATATTTTATTGTAAACAGCTTGGAGGGATACGATGTCAGGCGTTTGTTTTTGTAGCGTTTGTTCTTGATGATAGCGTTCATCTAATTTGCTTAAGCTAAGCATTCTACAGTATGGCTGTATTTAAAAGCAAGGATTCTGGCACACCAACATGCAGCAGATGCTTAACAAAAGTTGTGTGTTAGGGGGGAAACGTCAAACTTAAGGCTTATGGAATCACCTTAAAGGTGAGGAATGGACTGGCTTTGACAGCTTGTGACATCATCTGACACTTTCAGTGAGTACATTTACATGGACACCAATACTCTGATTTTAATATGATTAAGACAATACTCTGATCAAAAGCCTTCCACGTAAACTGTGATTTTTGATTATCTTAAAGGACCACAGACACAAACTGCGAAGTAAACATTTATAGCCTGTTGACGCACTGACGTTACTGGATCTATGAGCTATAACATGTAACTGGGAATCATTAATGGAACATTCAAAAAGCCGCTCATGTAAACACCTGAATCATTTTATTGTCTTATTCAGATTAGGGCAAATCATCAGATCACTGATGTCCATGTAAAAGTAGTCACAAGCCCCAAAGCTGTTCCCTGATTTTGATGACAGCCTTTCCACTGGTTAGTAGTAAGTTAATGTAATGTTAATAGCATAATGCAAATCTAGCATTCATGCTAACGAACAAAAGGAATATATTAATGCAATTCAAATAAATAAAATATGAATTGATGTTTACTTTAAACTTACTACAAATATAAATTTATATTGTTCAATAATAATGATTAATATATATATATATATATATATATATATATATATATATATATATATATATATATATATATATATATTAGGGGTGTAACGATACACAAAAGGCACGGTTCGGTTCGGTTCACGGTTTTGGAGCCAAGGTTCGGTTCGGTACGGTTCGGTTTCTGTTTGCTGTGGGGTTAGGGTTGATGTCATGTTAACAGCAATGCTAAGGGACAATTCACTTAATAACAAGAACGTCTTAACTTTTTCTTTATTAACTTTGTCATCGCATTTTTAGTACAGTCAGGATACCCGAGTAAACAACTAGAATTAAATAAATACCTCCAATATAGACTAGTCAGAAAAAAAAAACTATTCTCTTTAGTGCAGCCATCTTAATAAATAACTGCACTGTAGACTAGTGAGAGATCTTCTTCAAAAACACCATAATATCCACATTCTCCGATGAGAGGCTTGATCTCTGTGCAGACACAGACGCTCATTTTTGATTATATGGTTTCATTTAGATAGATAGGTTTCTGTTTAAATTAATGAAAAATATACATATAATGTGTTTGTAAAGTGTTTTTTCATGACATATTCACCAGTAAAATACATTGCGGTTGTGTCTGAAACTAATGTTAGGGTTGTAGCCGGCTGTATGTTTGCCTCCCGATCTCTCTCTCTCTCCCGCTCCCTCTATGCCGGTCATTTATGTAGGTCCGCCTTCACGAGAGCTGATGCCTGTCATTTCTGTAGGCCCGCCTTTTTGACAGCTGATTGGTCAGGAGACCGATCTATCATCATTTGGCGACGCAGCGCGGGAATGTAAAAAGCACGTCAGGAAGAGCGGGAGAGAGAGCGCTTTTTCCTTTGATTTCGTTTTTCGTGTATTTTTCTGACATGATTATGATTTTCGTTGTTTTTGCTTAACTTTCGTTTGGGTAAAATTATTTTGCATTACTTTTGCCCACTTTAAGAAATTTTGTGAGGTTTGTACATTTTTATTTCAATTGATTTGTATATTATTTTTTAGCTCCGCTCCTTCCCGACAATATAGCTGCTCAATCTCCTCAAGTTCAGTCTTGGTGTAAGGTGGATAGGGAAAATGTCATACGATTTCCATTTTGCAAACACGTAGAAAATGTATTGTTAAAGACATCAGGTAAGAGGTGAAGGTCATCTTTGTTTATTTTATTCAGTATAGGGAAGAATGCGGCGCACTGCGCTGAAGACCTTTTTTTTCTTAAGGTAAGAGGGGTTATTCATGACTTAGAATTGTTTTATTATATTTATTTCTTTTGTTTGTCTTCACTATCACCCCCTTGCTCGAGTTTAACTAATTTTTGTTTGATACTTTTGTTTGAATTTGTTACTTTATTATATTATTTTTATTAGTGTAAATATTTCTCTTTTTTGTATATTTGGGCATTATTCTGGTTTCACTTTTGTACATTAAATCACTTTTGTTGGCAGTTCTGTTGCTTACACCCTCACATTGTGAAATTACCACACTTTTTAAATGTTTTTCCTTACAAGTAAGTTTCGTGAAACAGTTGAGACAGACAGGCGTGCGCTTTGTCCACGACACGAATTCTATTCCTGTACTCAACTGGAAAACCAAAATGTTTCCACACAGATGACTTAAATGTGTCTGGGGGATCTGCAATCTCAGTACTATGTGAAGCAGCTGTCCTGCGTCCAGTAGTAACGAGCGTGATGCTTACTCAAGTCACATGACATAACATGCACTAAAATACTAACTTTAGAATATATTTAGAACAAATTCTCATCATTACTAAAACAATTTAATCAAATATGATAATAAAGATGTGTTTAAATTGGTTCAATTAGTTAGAGACAAGTGACGTCAACCTCAACAATGGGCAGCAGGGGGCGTGAGAGTACCGCGGTACGCCACGAGAGTTTCGCGATACGTATCATGGTTGGTGTATCGCGATATTTCGGTTCGGTTTTAATATCGTTACACACCTAATATATATATATATATATATATATATATATATATATATATATATATATATATATATATATATACACACACACACACACACATTTTTTTGTCAATTAATTTTGTGGCTAAAAAGTCGGTTCAGGCACAGTTTTGGCACAGGTACCATTTTAAAAGTATCGATTTAGCACTGGTAAAAAAAAAAAAAAAACGATACCGAACCCTAGTGAGAAGCACTTCAATCATGGGCGTAAATCTGATTTAACAGTAGGGGGGGAATAAATATAAAACTTCTTTCGAGTATTTTTTTGAAAGGGGCACAAATAATACAGCCAAATTGTACTAATAAAGACATGTCCCCGCAGTTAAAAATTGTTTCATCATTAATATTATTATACCATGGAGACAACGTCATTATAGTTATTTTCAAAGTTTTTCTCAGGTTCTATGACAGCTAATTTTTATTCAAAACTATTTATTGCATTGTTTGTTGTGTTGTTTACAGTCAACTGACTCCTGAAGCAGAATCAATGCAGGAAAATACGTTTTCCATACACATAATAACTAGTTCACATTACACTTGTTAAATTGACTGATCATAAAAATTTCTTCAATAAAGCACAACACCCTTAAAGCCTGGTTCATACTTCTGCGTCAAGTGACCGGCGTAACCCACAGCGCATGCAATGCGCGTAGCTGTGCATTTATACTTCTGCGCGCTGTCTCTGTTGGTCTGCATTAACAATTCCGAAACGCTAGTTGGCAGTGAGGTGTAAATGTTCCTCTGTCGAGTTTCTTCGCTGCTGTTTTGCTTTTCCTGAACACTTCCGGGATGTACAAGTGGCTCAAACTCGCTCATTTTGAGGCAGGAACAGGCGGACGAGCAACAACTTTAACTATGAGGTAAACACAAAACAAAACTTTCCATCCGGAGCTCCTTCACGGGACTCCACACTTGTAAACAATCGCTCGCGCCATTCGCGCGGCTCTGGGTCCCGACCAGACACGTCAGTGCTACCAAGGCGACCAATCACAGAGCTTGCGCTACGCGTTGTTGCGACGTGTAGTTACATTTTTTGAGAGGTGCACGTCAGTGACGCCGACGGCCACGGTGAAGGGCTACGCGTCAGCGTTTGACGCAGAAGTATAAATCAGCCTGACACTGTACATCTGACTGACCCTGCTCTGCCTGTTCCTCAATCATTTCTTTCTCATTTGCCTGTGATTGATATTGTGATATTAGTGTTTTCATAAGCATTCATTTAGAAAGCCAAATTGCTTAATATGTGAACTTTTTGTACCTGGTGTTTAGCTGCACTGAAAAATGATCTTATGTCCATTTTCTCTGTCATTTTATCAAATGCATGACACTGCAATGCAGGTTTATTTATGCTGCAGACCATTTATAGTTAAGTAATTATAATCACTAATACAGCAGATTCATGGACAATTACATCGGTAATCAGCATTTTTGCCGCAACTAATTTATGAATGAGTCAGTATTAACTAGATTGAAGGGAATCGCTTTATTTAGGGTGGATAAAATCCCCTACTTACTTACTGAAATTCAACATTAACTCCCGCAGCCACACACCTGATTTCTAATATAGACAAGCGGCGATGCACATGAACTTTCTGGAGAAAGTGAAACCGCTCATGCTTTAGACGGGCTCGTAAAACAACAACAGGACAGGACACAGCAGATTTTGTTCTTCTTGGCTTTGTTGCTGTTCATCAAGATGATGATGACGTCTTTTTGATCTTGAGTCGACCATAGCTTGTTATTATATGTATATATTATTATGGTGTAATGTCTCGGCTGTGTTTTTAAAATGGCGGTTTCTTTGTTTTTAATTATTTTGCTTGTGTATGCGATGGTGACGTGTCTCTATAAACCAATAGCGTTCAGCTGTGGGTCTAGCTCGCCTTTTGGTACCCTTTAACAGTGGAAACGGCCATAAAAATGTACCAAAGCGCACCACTCAGTAGAACTACAACTACAGTAAATCAATGGTAGATTTCTGCTGTGTTTTCAGCAGCATTTCATTTGGAAATTTCAAACATTTCCCACAAATGGTTCTGTGGACTGCCATTGTAGAATGTTTTAATCGATCTATATTAATGAATTATCCTAAATTTAAAGAACAAAACATTCTCTAATATCTTTTAAATGTGTATTGACAGGGTTTAACACATTTTGGGTGCAGTGAATACTAAAAGAGTTGAGCTCTTTCAGATAAAAATATTGATTTAACTATTGACCTCTTGAACTATTCCCCTATCTGCACATACAGCAATGAAAGAATCACTCTGAAAGGACTCGTTACTGCAGAGTCACATTAAAGATTTGTTCCAGAACAACCCATCAATACTGCAAGTTTGCATATCTGTTAAGGTTACTCTCAGACGTGACACTCTTGTGTGTTTTTCAATGTTTCTGACTGACTGAATCTCACTTGTTTCTCTCCAGTGTGAGTCCTCTCATGTATTTGCAGGCTTCTTAACTGACTGAATCTCATGTCGCAGTGTGAACACCTGTACGGTCTCTCTCCGGTGTGAATCCTCTCATGTCTTTTCTGGCTTCCTGACTGATTGAATCTTTTGTCGCAGTGTGAACACTTGTAAGGTTTCTCTCCCGTGTGAATCCTCTCATGTGATTTCATTTGTGATGACTGACTGAATCTCATGTCGCAGTGTGAACACATGTACGGTTTCTCTCCAGTGTGAATCCTCTCATGTGATTTCATTTGTGATGACTGACTGAATCTCATGTCGCAGTGTGAACACTTGTACAGTTTCTCTCCAGTGTGAGTCCTCTCATGTGTTTTCTGGCTTCCCAACTGAGTAAATCTCTTGTCACAGTGTGAACACTTGTACGGTTTCTCTCCAGTGTGAATCCTCTCGTGTATTTTCAGATGTGAAAACTGACTAAATCTCATGCTGCAGTGTGAACATATATAAGGTTTCTCTCCAGTGTGAATTATCTGGTGTTGTTGTAAGCTTGTAGATGTAATAAAAGTCTTCCCACACTCAGAGCACACATACTCTCTCACACCGGTGTGGATCTTCTGATGTTTTCTTAAATTTCCTTCGTATGCAAAACTCTTTCCACACACAGAGCATGAAGGCTTCTCAGTTGCATGAACTCTAAGGTGATCATTCAGGCTTGAAGCCAACAGAAATGATTTTCCGCACTGATCACACTTGTGTGTTTTCTCTCCAGTGTGGATCAACATGTGTCTACTAAGGTTTGATGAGTCTCTGAAACTCTTCCCACACTGAGAACATGTGAATGGTTTCTCTCCGGTGTGGATCCTCATGTGGCTCTTGAGACTGTCTTTGTTTGCCAGACTCTTCCCACACTGAGTGCAGGTGACACGTTTTCTGTCTTTTCTCTTCAGTGAGTGAGTTTTTTCTCTCATTTTAACATGCTGTGTCTCCTCCATCAGGCCTGAAATAAATATGAAAAGACAGCATTTTATTTAAGTGATATAAACAAATGATAGCAGACAACAACTATAAAATCACGATTATTTCAGTCTTCAGCAAGGTACACCGATCTTCCAGTCACCTTCTTTATATAAATATTGAATATTTGCCCAAACTATTTTCCTTCATTCATTCAATTTCAACAGCTGCTGTAACACATTGAGCCACTAAACACTGTTCTTATGATGTTTTTCTACAGGAGGAAAATGTGAATTACTTCCAAACACTTCAACTATAGTTGTGGTAAATATTGACTTCTCATTAATTACAAATTATCAGACCGGAGGTTTTGAATATCAGAAAATAGACTTTATTCTCCATAATAAAGCCGAGAAAGAGCAGAGCAGACCCCAGAGCATTCTGTTTTCATGTTTTGTAAATTTCTATTTGCTCTGTTTTAACTATTATTCCTTATTAATTCCTTATATTGTTTTCTTAAACACTTTTCTCTTTCAATTTTTTTCATAGCAATTTAGAACTGTTACTTTCTGACCTTATGTCCAATGAATTTATTTCAAATTGTTATTTCAATCTTTCCTTTAACTATAAATCATTTTTCTAGATTTGAATTTTTCCAGTTTTCAATATCCAATATTGATTTAGGCCATTCACAATACAATTATGTTAAGATTTTCCTTTACTTAATTTGAACTTAAATACTTAGTTCCATTCTTATTTATTCTCCAAATTATGTATTGCCTTATCAAAAGCTTTTTCTTTAGTCACCACCCTGCATTGTAATTTATCATTCTATGTTTAAGGAACTTTTATTAAGCCTACTGAAACTTAAACTCAAATTATTTACCATTCATCATAATATATAATTTTATCATTTAAAGTTTCACCTTAAAATTACCTTATAACACTTTTTTTTTTTTTTTTTTTTTTACAAATTTGCATGATAATAATTTCTCTCAAATTGACAGGAGTCTGATTTGATCCAAGAATGGGTAGCTACACTTTTGTTCTTAATTTTCCTTCTGTAATTCTTGAACTTAATTTGGACTTTAGGAGCTACTTTGAGATGGACTGTCAGACTATCCCCCCTCGCAACCTGAGACAACTAGCTCCAGATTGGCGCAACAGTCTTTTCTATGTTGTCCTGAAATTCCTTCATATCCGGGCACAGTGTTTCCCCCTCTCTCTTTGGGCTGGCTTCTTTCTTTGACTCAGCTGATGTAAAGTTCTGGTGGAGCGTATTTTCTCTTTGATCAGTTCATCAGTCTCTTGTTAGTGTCTCTTTTGAATGTCTCTGAACAAATGTAGCTTTTTCAGTCCTCAGTAAATCCTGAGTATGCAGTGCCTGCATCACTGCTGTAGCATGTCACAAGTGTCAACAGGCATTTTGCTCATTGTGTTTTTCAAACACCTTTCCATTTGCCAGTGTACTCAGATGTCTGGTAGGTACAAGACTACAGTCCCCCAAAGTTCATCCCTATGTCCTCTTAATTAATATATATAGAATTTAGCTCATGACTCTTTTTTTTCCCCCCATTTTTTCCTTCATCAAATAAAGACTCCTTTTATCCATTTTTTTTATTAATTAATTTATTTATTTATCTATTTTTGTTTACTGTTTAACAACTTATTTTCTTTAATTCTCAATCATTTTTATCATATGTAAATATGCTTAATTTTCTATTTGTTAAATGTTCTTATAATTAATTTCTTTGGCTTCAGATTGTGCTTCACTTATTTTTTCCTAATTTATTCTAGTGCTTCCTCACTAGTTACATTACATCTTACATTATTTTAATTTCTCTAACATTTCCATATACCTGTTTTAATTCAACAGTACTATATGGTGGCCTAATGTCTAATATAACTGTTCAAAATTCTTACTGCAATAGCTTCAAGTTCATAGTGCTATTTTAACTCTAAATGTTTGTTTACTTTAAGCATTTTTCCAATCTGAAATGCAATTTTTGATTTTAAATTAGTTTTTTAGGTACATAAAATATTAACTATATAATTTTTGAACTCACTATGATGTTCTTTCATTTCTCCTCAGTGTCTATGCTTTACATCTGACTCACTGCTTTTACTACAAATAGCTGTTGGCTCAGATGACAGCCTGTAGCTGACTTTAAAACAGATGACAACAGTCAACTTACTCCACAACAATTTTTTTATTGCACTTAAACATAATTTTATCTTTTAAAGCCAAATCTTGTTTTCTTTAAAATGTTACTGTTTTTTCTAATTTTTATCTTATCTGTTTAATATATATTTTTAAACATCTTCTCTTTTTATTCTATTAAACAATGTTTGGACTTCTTTTTTCTCTCCATTTTCCTATGCTTCTTTTCCTTTTCAAAAATTAGCATTTTTGTCTCTTAGATTTTCCTAATTCATTTTTCTTTACACTTATTTTCCTTAAACATTTGATCATTAACTCTTCAATTAATCCATATTCATCAAAGTTTTTCTCTTCTAATTTATTCTCTATCAAAGAACTAATTTATCTATTTTTATTTATACTGATTTAGTAAATTTATTTCCTAATCAATTTAACAATTTATATCCATATGTAGTTATTTGTATGCTTCAATTTTTAAATTTCTTAGTATTTATTAATATAGCTTTCAGTTGCATTTTTATTAACACTTTTTATTTTTTAAATCTTAAATAAATCATTAATATTTTCTTATTTTATTTATCTTATTACACTACTTTATAATATTTCTATTTATTTAATACCTTATAATATATCTTTACTCTTTAGCTTCTATCTGTCCTGTGAAACTTTTGTTCTTAAAATAGACAGATTCTTACCACTCCTGAAGCAGACCTTCTTCCAGACTGTCGACATGTCAGGAATTTCAGTCCCCTCTCTGCCTAGTTCATACTTAAAAACACTTCAAACACACAGAGATTATTCAGAAAAATGTTGTATATTCTTCTTTTCAGTCTGTGTCTTTCAAATGCAATATCATCTCAATTAATTTCATGAGGCTTAATCCTCCTTTGTATCACAATATCTTCCCTCAGCTGCATCACTCTCTATCTTATTGTTCATAAAATCACACAACATATGCAGTCCTTCTTTTATATTATAATATAAAACGATAAATCTTTTAAACTCACTCTTATTGCAAACATACTTCTAAACACAATCATACTTCTCACTCATTCTAACTTATCTCTTACACTGTGTAACCTGACCCTCACCTCTATTCTAGTCTCTCTAAAGGTGGTAGCTTCTGCATACCAGTATCTTCAGTCCAACACAGACAAATACACAAATACTAACAATTACATAAATACACTACACTACACTCCTCTTGAGTGACCTGTTACTTCTGCTCCCGTCTTTACTGTTCTTCAGTAAAAATAGCACTTCACAGGATTTTTGCCTTTTTTCCCCCAGCCTCCTGCATAATAATATTTATTATTATTAAAACAGAACGGGTACTCCGAGGTCTTTGCGCGCTTCTCTCTACTTTATTAATCTGTTTTAATCTCTTAACTGTCACCACACTTTAAGAACTTCCTCTTAAAACTTAAAAATGCTCTATGCATATTCTTCATTATTAAAAAATTTCCCAAACATGAGTAACAGTTACTAGTTAACGTTCCGTCAAGGCCCTCTTAGGAAAACACAGATCATTTGCATGCAAATTGTTATTTTCTCCTGGTATTCGAAACCCCATTGTTTTCCTTTCATATCTTTACTTTTTTAGTTTTACTTGTAGTTCGTTATAGCTGGAGAAACAGTTCAAGTGACTTTTTACCATTACAAGCAGGCCCTTGGCAGAAAAAACACAAATGTATAAGCTTAAAATTGCTTACCGTTTTTTATCGTGGCCACATATTTGTGTTTGTCCTCCAAGCCCCAGCATGTCCAGTGTCACCCGTTCGTGAAGTCTCTCCTGGACACCTTCTAAACTTTCAGTGTGTTTGTTACAATTTTTATACAGGATTATTTGACACACCCCTAAGTCTCTTTTTAACTCTTGACCATTTTTGAATAGGTTTTTAGTCTAAGGGGTCCTGCTATTCTTGGCTCTCAGCCCACTAGCTCATGTCAACAGAGATGTTACAGGTCTGTGTCAGCAACTGTTTTGACACCAAAGTTCTCTCTCCATAGATGCAACTTATGCAAAAGGATTAAGTGTTTACATACATTGTCATGAAAGCATAATCACTTGATAATATGTTACTCATTCCAACTTCTGACACATATACCTTCATACAAGTATTTAACATATATAATCAGTGCTTTACATATTCAGTTATTCTACACAATCAGTCACTCAGCCTTCTCCTAGTGTTGCTCCTGTGCAGGCATACTCATCTTACACAGACATATCACTGTATTTTTAACACAGGCTGGCATGTTTGCTGCAAACACTACATACATTTTGGGAAGAGATAATTAACTGCTTTACACTTAGAAAATACTTCACACTGAGAGAATAGAAATCTTCTTCATAGTCTGTGTTAGTAAATGCAAGGCTAATTATGAAATGCAGGCAGAACACTGTAGGACAACATTTAACTGTTCTAGAGCCCACAGCTACTCAATCTGTCAGATTCTGGAATGCATTTCGGCTCGTTTCCACAGAGTTGTACGGTATGGTATGGTTCAGTTTGGTTCGCTTTTATGGCCGTTTCCACTGTCAAAAGGCATACCGAACTGAATCGTACCACTTTTTCGGCACCATTTCGAAAGGGTACTGAACACGAGAAAGGGTACCAAAAGGCGGAGCTAGACGCGCAGCCGAGCGCTATTGGTTAACAGAGAAATGTCATTCGCTTATGCAACAAGCCAGAATGAAAACAAAAGAGCCGCCATGTTTAAAATGAACAGCGGGAGATTACAGCGGAATTATATATACATATAATAACGAGCCATGGTCGATCCGGGCTCAAACAAACCTTGTCGTCATCTTGATGAACAGCCACAAAGCCATGCAGTAGAGCAGATTTACCCTGTGCCTCGTAGTTAGTTTGTGTTTC